GTAATGTGTAGGCATTTAGACTTTAGATTACGTCATTTCGTATACTCAAAAAATACATTTTTTGCATTATAAATCTCTAAATGTTGAAATTCAATTCAGCTGTTTTCCTTTGATTTTTTAACACATTTCTTGTTTACATTGGCTTGGGAAAGTAATAATTCCTTCAGTAAAGGTGAAATTGGGAAAAAGCGTAGATTGATATTTTGATAATATTCAATGGCGACACTGGAGGAATTTCCTTCTGAGTAAATTACTTTCTCTTTTGATTAGGGTGGTATTTTTTTTAATCAAAATTGTAGTCGAATTTATTTCTGTGTATAACCAGTGCATTAGTTAAATTGTTATTTATAAAGTCTCTTTTGTGCTCATAGACATTTTTTTAAATTTCTGCATGTTTCCCCAATATATCGTGAAGAACAGTCTAGACAATTTATTTTATATATAACTGCTTCTGAACTATTATTGATACGATGTTTTAGATCAGATTATATGGATGATTATTTTGGAAGTAGTTGTGACTATTTCGATGCATCGATGGGATAAGGTATTTTGGATAAAAGGATGTTATAGAATTGGAAGGTAGTATTATGTATCTGGTTTTGTTTAATTTATTATTGTGGATAATGTTGTTATTTTTGTTGCTTCTGATATGTATCTACAGATTCTTGATAAAATTTGCCATATTATCGGTCCTGACCTGACATCTCCATTTCAATCACTTTCATAGTGCCGTAACGTAGCTTCCCTATATCTTCTCTATACATATTTTCATGGGAATTGTTCTGATGAGCTTTCCTTTTTTGATATATCAACTTCATCAATTTAAGCGTAGTACTGGATTGGCAGCTTGTTCTCACCATTTTTCTGTTCAAATTGCTACATGCAACGTCAATCGTTATCTTTTGTCTGATCGGTCCCTATACTTTTATTATCCTTTCTCCACAATAAAGTTTTCTAAGTTTTTTCGATTCTCAGTAACTCCCTTGTTCTGGTGTGATTTCCTCTTTGGTATATAGACGCTGCGAACTTAAGCGCAATACCAAACTGGCAGTTAGGTCTCATCATTTTATTTTACATTTGAAATGACTAGACTGAACCATAATTTTCATGGTAACAGTTTTTTTTTTTTTTTTTTGAGAAAGAGCTAGTACAGGATAGATGTGGGTTGGGCACGCGTGTAGGTTTAGTTAGTTATTGCTATGGTATTAGTATTTAAAATCTAAAACATTGAATTAAACTATGCAAGAAAGAGACCAGCTCATCTCGTTATGGATTCCGGAAGTAGTAGATCGAAGCTAAACCGGATGAAGTAAAAAGACAACACTATATAGGAGGGGAGAGTGGAAAGCCTTGTTTTCATTGGCTGACATTGGCTGACATATGTCAATAAGAACGGTCGACGTCCGACCTTGCTCGGAAGGAGATTTTTTTGCAATGTCACGGTGCATAGCACGATACTTTCAAGGAGGCGGCCTGACTCGTCTTGAATCAGGTCGGGGTTGCTGTTGGAGTCGATATGATGCAAAACTCGAAATCGGCGGACAGCGCATCACTGAAGACCACGCTTGATGCATCTAAAATGTATTATTCAACTTCTCGTGCACTGAGAAACTCTTTTCCGGCTTTTTGCTTTTTCAGTCAACTTTGATTTTCAAAAATTTAAATGGAATGTCAATTGTTATCTTTCGTTTTCTTAAATCCAGTTCTTTTATTGTTCGCTCTCTTTAAAAATATATTTTGTTTTATATTCTTTCAGTATCTGTCTATATTTATATTCTTTCATATTCAGTAACCCCTTGGGTGTTATTGACTTTACCGCCTTGATTGAAGTGAAATGATTAAAATAATGTGGAGAGAAGTTTTATTCGTTCTGTGTTCACTGATTGTAACGAATACAGATCGAGTGAATTAACAATGTTTATACGATGACACAGTTCCTGCATCGTTGTGTTGCTTTGTTTATTTTTGTTTTGTATTAATCACGTAATCATAGGACATTATTTCTGCCTCGTTTTTTCGTTTCATAAACTAGCAGTTAATGATACAGCCGCGGGTCATGTTAATATCGCGTAATTAGTCTTTATTGTCGACTCGTCATAAAAACACTTAACATAATTATCTGCTTAATCCTTAAAATTCTAATGATTATTTCGCGAGATAGCTTGACGAGGCCATTCGCGTGAATTTGATTTTGGTGGACGACTCTGCACAATGGAGAAGGCCACACACTTGGATAGAAACATCTCCCTCGCGGATCAGTGAAGATTGAGACAGACGAAATTTGCCAAACCTGGTTGGATCGGACTGTCAGATTCTTGCTCTGTCCGCCTTGGTTACGCCATCCCGACTGGTTCTGCTTTTTTCCGCCGGTTGAGTGTTTGAGATCTTGTAGATCTTTGCCTATTTTGCTGTTGAGGTCTTCGGGGGTTAATCGCGTTCAGTATAGTTATCCCTCTTCGATTTACTACCATGGGTGACCCTGCAGGAGTTGAAACTCCAGAAGGCCTCGCACTTGGGATCACTGGGAGACAAGAGGTCTTTACCATGACAAGAATCGAACATATATATTTTTTACTCTGGAGTAGATAGGTTTGCCTATCGCCCGGTTTACACTCCTCTCCAGTCATTTGAACAGGAGTAAAGATTTATCTCTTGTTTTCTGCTTAGGATTTGGGTTTCTGGTTCCTTCTAAAGTTTTTTTTTAATTCTATTTCACTTCCAGTCGCCCCTTGTGTCTTAGTGGCATTATCACTTTGCTTGGGATGAATTGATTAGAAAATAAAATAAAATAAATCCCGTTGAAAGGTTCACTTCCATTGCATTGTTTAAAGATGAGTCTTCAATTGTCTTTTTTTTATTCGTTCCAGAATTACAATGTTCCATTCTTTGATAAACCTAATTCCAAAAACATCATTAGGGCTTACACCTATATCACATTGAAACACCGATTCTCGTACGATCATCTTAGTTAAGCAACGTTTGAGCCTCGTTTGTACATAGATGAGTAACCAGGTAACGTAAGCTTGTATCTGCAGGTGATGTAATGGATAATGGCTTGGGATTAAAAATCAGAGAGCCGAGTTCGGATTCGTTATATTCCCTTACGCGCAAATACTCTTGGGAAAACTATGAACCTCCTCTCCCCACAACTATGGGTTTATTAGTATGACTTGTAGCAGTAAATTGTTATTATCCTCCCCCAAATTCTTACGATCTAAAAATATTTTCTGGCTATAAATAACTTGCAAAAGGTTGATAAGCCATAAAAAATTTCCAGTCAAAATCTTTGTTATTGTTAATACTTGAATTCCCGATTACATTCTATCACATCAATAAATAAAAAGTTGGGATAGATTTTAATGATGCACAAATGACACATAGGAAGATAGTGTAGCTTAGATGTGGTACAGGGTCGAAAGTATAGTGCACTCAGTGAGGATCGAACTTACTACTAATTGATCTAGCGAGGGAAGCTTGCTAACCGTTAAACCATGTCGAAGTGTTCTAAATAATTTATTAAACGTAACTTAGAAGTGGCAGAGGGTAACAAATATGGAGGTCCAGGTGAGGATCGAACTTACCACTCTGTTTTAACTAAACTAGCGAGACATACTTTCTAACCATTGCACTACGTTGAAATTCCTCACAGAGAGGCCTAGCGATTTACTAAGCATAGCTTAGACATGGTAAAAGACCGCAAGTATGAATCGAACTCATTACTCTGTCTAATTGATCTAGTTCGCTAATTATTACATCACATCGCATTGCCTACCGATTTGCAAAGCCTAGCTTAGATGTGGCACAAGGTCGAAAGTAGAGAGCGCCTATTGAGGTCGAAGTACCCCACATAGAGATATAATGTTCAATGGGACAATTTTCTTGAATTTTGACATGCTTTGCTTTTGCCATTCCAAACAATCTATTTGAATAAGTTGTATAAACAAGTTGTTTTATTTTTTTAAGGTTTGACAGACACCTAGTTCCTTGCATTTTTGGTATTTTCTGATAAGGTGATTGTGTACGAATGTACTTCTGATTAGTATGTGACTTATACGAGTCGATATTTAACTTACGTCAGCTTAAACGCATAATAATTAAATTACGTCAGGGGTACTTCACCTGCTTATCAGAAAATGCAATAAGTCTCTAGGGTCTAGTTTGGGTTTTAAAATAGTGGTCCTGAAAAATATTTTTTGGCCCTATAAATGATTTTTCCAAATCTTTTAATTTTATACCCCTCCGTTTATTATACCAGGTATAACGCCAAAATTATCCAAATTTTGTAACAGCATGGGATAAATGTTCATCCCACAAAAAAACAAAAAAACCCGAATAAACTAATTCAGTTTCTCTTTTTCCATGTTTTCAAATAAGACGTTTAGCTTTGTTGACACCATTTGTCGTAAGAATAACCGAAAAACCTTTCGAGTTATTCAACTAGAAAGAGAAGAGGTTAAAATCGTTTTGTGTCAGCTCCTCTATCTCTTCCCAACTGAGCAATGATGAGAGGAAAAAGATCATTCAGGCCTTCAGTAATGGTATGGATATTCATACTCTGGCTTACATCTTCAAAGTCCATTCAAGAACCATCAAGAGAATGGTGAAAAAGTTTAAGAAAGCGAGAGCAGTAGAGAGGAAATTGAATCAGGAGGTGTCAACAGCAAGAGGGATCATAATTTCAGCTTAGAGCTAAATACATTCTTATTGTTCAAAGTAGAGTCTAATCGTGCTATAAAAACCTCGGCGAATTCCAGTAAGATATATTTAATCATTTTTAAGATACACCAGTTTATAGTTTAATATAACCATTGGACAATTTTGCTGTTACACCCGGTATATTGTAAAAAAAAAAAAAAAAATCGAACCCCCAGTTGTTAAGATCTCCGCCTTGCATCAGACAACTGATTGATATGTTTTTATTGGTTTCTACTAAATTGTCGAATCACACGGCACCATGTTTATTTTGGTTTTATCTATGGCGTTATTTTTTGTCTTTCCAGCATGGCTTCACCAATGCGAATGGTCGCCGCTAAGATTCTTATGATTGCATTGCTTGCAGTCACAATTATTCTCGCTGCCCTCGATACAAGTGAATGTAAGTCGCTTCTTAATTTTCATCTGTTTTAAATTATATTTAAAAAACAAACAAACACTAAAATCATTGCTAACGCAAAATAAAGTGAAATAAAGTGCTTTCCCTGATATAATTTAGAATAAGGTATCTGTCTTCAAATTCATTCTGTCTTATTGCCTTTTATCAACATGGTCGCCGAATCGAAACGAAGAAAGTGAAGTCGATATATTCGTTGGAATAAGGCGACTCTTGCATCAAGACTAAATCGTAAAAGCGCATCGTCAATGTCTAAGTAAACACTACTCATCTGCAATCAATAATGATCTAATAAACTTGGTGATCATCAGTAATTCTAATAGATACTTTATAGATATAGACAGTGGCTATTCCTATGTCCACACTATAATAGCAAAATTTCATGGTATTCAAACATTACGCGGGAACAGAATGACGCTCTGACTTTTGCAGTTACCCCTTGTAGCACACACACACACTCATATCTATCTATCTATCTATCTATCTATCTATCTATCTATCTATCTATCTATCTACAATTATTATAGAATGTATTTTCTATTAATCAGACACATTTTAATCACTTTAAATGTTATTTTTAGTCGATACTCGTATTTGAGTAGACGTTCCGTTTATTTACTAACAGTATATTTATTTTCGTCTACGGGCCTGAATCTTCTAGAAATCTTATTAAAGAGTTCAAATTTTTCCTTAATAAGATTTTTCGAGTATTTAAGCCGGTGGACAAAAATAAATAAATATATTGTTTAATAAATAAACGTAACGTCTATTCGAATACGAGTATCCATTAAAATAACGTTTAAAGTGATAAATACAGTGTAGAAGAAATATTCGTACACCATGATTTTTTTTTTAATTTAACATAGATTTTATAAAATAATTTTATAATCCATGCAATATTTGTATATCATGGCATAATCCTGCGATATGCAAAAGAAATTCATAAACATTTGTTATTTTAATGAAATTATATAAAATTAAATCATTTGGAGGTGAAAAAAGTATCCGTATAAAATTATAATACCTATTTAATACTTGTAGCGTATCTTTTACTCAATTCAACAGGAATCAGTCTCTTTCTGTTACTTTTAATCAATGATTTGCAAGTTTCTGTTGGTATTTTACTTTATTCTCCTTTGTATATTCTCTTTAGGCCCAGGATGTTTTCCGGAGATCTTATATTAACTTCAATTTTTAATAAACGCCACAAATTCTCTATTGGATTCATGAATGGACACTGTGATGGCCGTACGTGTGTATTGACATTATTTTCAATGAGACATTTTTTCGTAGATTTAACCGTATATTTATGGTCATTATCTTGTTGCAGAACCCATTCATTTTGGATTTTAAGCTTTACTACTGACCCAAACAAATTAGAGTCCAAAAGATCCTGGTATAGTCTGAATTCATTCAACCATCTATTATCTCTAAATTACCCTAGCATTAGCAGAAAAAAACCCATCCCGAAACCATAATATCGCCACCGTCAAATTTCACGGTTGGGATTGTCTTCTTCGGTGCAAAGACTATGGTTTTTTTTCTCCAAACATAAATCCTTGAATTATGCCCAAATAGTTCAATTTTTGCTTCATCTGTCCATAAAAACTTTCCCAAAATGATTCAGGTTAATTCTTATGTTCATGAATAAAATTTAATTCGGTACCTCTATGTTTCTTCAATGGTAGTAGAGTTTTCTTGGAGAACGCCATCTTAGTTGATTTCTATGAAGTTCATTGCTTATTGTTTGTTTCGTAACAATAATACCAGGTGATTTTAATTCTTCCTGTATTCCTCTCCAAGTAGTCATTGGATTTTCTTGAATTTTGCGCTGAATTCTTCTCATTGATCTGGGAGAAATCTTGCGTGGTGCACCAGATTTCGATTTGTTCGCATCAGTTTTCACCTTTTTATACTTAGCAATAAAGGAACTAATAGTAGTAAATGGTGTATTCAGAATATCTGCTATTTTCCTATAGCTTTTGTCTTCCTTCAAATGTTTGATGATCATTTTTTTGCGAATTTGATAGTTCCTAGCCTTTCCCCATGATGGTAATTATTGTGTATGATTTGTGTGCGGAGATAAGCTTATATAAGAAATCAATTGTGGAATGTTCTAGATTGTTCCGGTAATAAGATAATTGGAAAAATCTAGCAAAATCTTAGAGAGAATTATGACAATAAATGTAATTTAAGATTTTTGATATTAAAGACATATTGTGTACGAATACTTTTTTCGCCTCGAAATTTGATAAATGACACATAATTTCATTTACAACAAAATTCTCTCATTGTTTTTTGCATATTGCAACGTTATACTATGGCGTAGAAATATAGTAAGAATTTGAAGTTTTTCATAGGTTTTTCTATGTTAATGAAAAATTCATGGT